GCCACTATACAGTTTATTCTAGATGGGAAACCATATTTAGTATGTTGTGATGATGCTCAGGGAATGAATGTTAAGTAATTAAAAAAAAAAAGTTTCAGGAAGGGAAAAAAAAAGCAGTAAAACTGTTCCTATTGAAATTTTTAAAAATGCATATTTGATGATGCCGTAAGCTATATAGCCCCAGCTAGGTACTACTTTATAGTATGTTCATTCTACTCACTGAGGTTTATGCCTAAATTCAGACTTGGGTTCATGTATAGGTATATATCAGCTGCACTTGCTACTGGAAATATTTAGACTAATTAAGTTCATTAGCAAATCAATTAAATGGGGAGGAAAAGCATAGAAAGCAACCATGGATATCAGAGACAATGTGGGAGGAAGGTGGGACATGGCAGAGGGTAAGGGATAGGGAATCAAGGATGGCAAAAAAAAAAGTATACAAGACATAAATGGAAAATTATTTGCTGAGAACATGTATGTTGATGTACTTGATTGAGCCAATATACAGTGTATTTTGGATGGAAAATTCATTTGTATGCTGTAATGATATATAGTGAATTAATGTAAAAAATAAATTTAAAGGAAAAAAAAGATAGATTCAGGGTATAGAAGAAGCTAAGGGTCACAGAGAATATTTTGGACCATTGTAGTAATGGTGTAGGCAAGGGCTTTTGAAACTGGCTGGTTAAGATGAGTCTGAATCTCCACTGCACATAGTGGAAGGACAGCTTCCTTTATGAGATCAGTGATAGTTGCATTATCCATTTAAGGAATTAAACATAAACATCTAGGGAGATCTGTGAAGCTTATTAAAATAGCCACTACATTAATTGAACATGTAAAGATAGGTATATCGCTCTAAGGTCTTTGCACATATGGTATATATGTATCTAATGTGTGAATGAGGAAATTGAGGCTCAGGAAGGATATGTCCCCCACCACCACCACCCCACGGTTCCTTTTACTTATGTATTTATTTTGGTGGAAAAGGAAAGAATGTGGGAGTGATTTGCTCCAGTGATTTGCTAGGTTTTGTTTTTAAAAGGGCATGTCTGTCGTACCTGTAGGTGGAGAGTGAGACCAACGTCCTGCAGGACGGCTCCCTCATTGACCTGTGTGGGGCCACTCTTCTCTGGAGAACAGCAGATGGCCTTTTCCATACTCCAACCCAGAAACACATAGAAGCCCTCCGGCAGGAGATCAATGCTGCCCGACCACAGTGTCCGGTGGGCCTCAACACCTTGGCCTTCCCCAGCATCAACCGGAAAGAAGTGGTGGAAGAGAAACAGCCCTGGGCGTACCTCAGCTGCGGCCACGTGCACGGGTACCACAACTGGGGCCACCGGAGCGACACAGAGGCCAATGAGAGGGAGTGTCCCATGTGCAGGACTGTGGGCCCCTACGTACCTCTCTGGCTCGGTTGTGAGGCGGGATTTTATGTAGACGCGGGGCCGCCAACTCATGCTTTCACCCCTTGCGGACACGTGTGCTCAGAGAAGTCTGCAAAATATTGGTCTCAGATTCCACTGCCTCATGGAACTCACGCATTTCACGCTGCCTGCCCTTTCTGTGCAACGCAGCTGGTTGGGGAGCAAAACTGCATCAAATTAATTTTCCAAGGCCCCATTGACTGATGCCTTTAACAGCCATCTACGACTTTATTAACAAGTTACTGTGAAGATTTTGCCACTAACTCTAGATTTTACCTTTTTGTAATGCTGTTTATTAAGGGGGAGGGGGGACTGGGACTGGGAAAAATAGAGGGTAATACCTGAAAGAAACATGGCAGGAGGTTAACAGATACCAGTGGTGTGTTGCATGCTCAAAACAGCGGCATCGTCATTGAAGTCTGCTTGATTCAACTATAATATCTTTGTAATAATTGGATTTAAAATGCCATGCTTTTATTTTTAACCTTGGGTTTTTAACCAGGCTTCTTTCCTTTGTATACTTGGACAAGACTTTAAATCATATTTTACAAATGTAGACAAAATTTATTCAAAAGTTGTTAGCTCTTACTGTGCAACCTTCAGTGCTACATGGTATAGGTGTTACATGAAAGAGACATCGTGATGTCCAGAAATACTTGATAATGACTAGAATCTACCCAGATACCAAAGGGGTGGCTCTGTAAAATGTGGTTGGTGGACGGGAGACCTTAGGCACAGGTGGGGCTTTTTTCTGATTTATTTTTCTTACTTTTAGGGGGGAAGAGAATATTCTTACATTATTATAGGGGTTTTTTGGTTTGTTTTTTGTTCGTTCTTAACATTCATTTATCCAACACCTGCCATTTCAATCAAGGAATTTTCCTTAACTTTTTAGTTTGCCTTTTGTTATTTCTGCCTGAAGGTGGTTTGTCCCTGTAGTCATCTTGCATGGCCGGAACCATTTGGTTGATTAAAATATAGTAGCTCTTAAAAAATTCATTAACTGAGGGTGGTCATTACAGATAGCCTTGGTACTATAGTAGCAAATTTACTTGTTACTGAATTGTTAAAATATTTAAAATGATTAAGAATAAGCTTTTACTTTTTTAAACCACTTGTTCGGGTTTAATAAGATTTTTTTTTTCACTTAAGAAAGCCAAAACTCTGTGAGCCTAAAAGCAACAATCACAATGATACAGTTGTTTTTGTTCACTTACTTTCTACCATCTGTTATCTTCCCTTGCAGCTTTAGGAGCCCTGTAAGTTTTGAAAATGTTTATAAAGCAAACTAAATTTAAATGTGATCATTAGATATACAATACCAAGTGGTATATCTACAGAGATCATTTGAAATTCTTGATTTTGAGAGAGCAAATGCGGGCTTACTGAAAAATAATCAAATCAGACTTTCATATGAGCTTCAGCCTCCCTCTCTGTTAGTTTCATTTTGTTTGATTAATAATTCTTGGATGCTCATTCTTTGTGCTCAGTACAGTAGGGTCACTGCTCCTAGAAGGTAAAGATTCTTTAGGACCTGAGAAAGCTAGAAGCTGACTGAGAAAAAAATAGATCCCTGCCACATGGAGCAAGTATTTATTTCAACTGACATTTTTTTACACTGCTGATTTGGGCTACGTGGTTTTAACCTTTGTAAATGCATATAATTTATATGATTACAAGATACTATACCCAGGGACCAGCAGTTAGCGTACTGGCTATGTTGCTGGACTCCCGTGTAGTCGACCATGGTTCGAGTCCCGAACCCAGTGACGTAAACTCATGCCGGGCGTGTGTGCGTGCGTACTCAAGATCCCAAGAGGAGAATGGAGGAGAAGGGATTGCAGTGTGGCCATCCCCTCAGGGGGTGATTTCTCACTTTCTGTCTGTCTGTCTCTCTCTGTCTTTCTGGCGAGTGCACGTGCCCTGTAGCAAAAACCTCTGCACAAAAAAAAAAAAAAGAAAAAGAAAAAAGATACTATACCATACTTGATTTGATTTTTCCATATTTTGCCTACTGGTAAATATTTTGCCTATTTTCAGTCATTCTAACCTATTTGAATACCCTTAAGGTGATAAGATTGTTCAGTTGACTTAATATTTTGATGTTCAGCCTCTCAATTTTAAAATAGCTTTACTTTTCAATGGAGATCATTGTTTAGAATGAAGTATTTTGGGCTTTAGTTTTGGTTTGAAATTTTAAGTGATGTGAAAATCCTGCAATAATCCTCTCACTGGTAGCTTCTTCTATTCTGTTTAGCTTACTCTACCTGCAGACAGGAAATGAAGGAAAAGGGGAAAAAAAAAAAAAGAATCACTTAGAATAATGTTTTGAATGCCTTTGATTTAGCCAGTCTCCAATGATTAGTTTCACTGATAGTATGTCTTTTTACCCTGTTATTCTTTGGGCTCCAAAGAATGACCAAAGGAGACCACTTGTTCTCTTTTCTTGTTAAACAGCTAAAAGGTGGTTTGACAATTCTTGATGCCCTAAAAGCATCTTATAGGGTAAATGGCCTTACGTCCAGGAAAGCCAGATTTTAACCTATTAAAAAAACATTCTTTTTTGCAGGAATTTAAGCTCTGATACCGAAATATTCCATTTCAAGGACTATATAGAAGTCTAGTAGTTTGTAGGCAATGTATGCCCCAACGTTGAGTTTCCAACCCGAAAAGTTTCTGACTTTTAAAAAACTCGGATAGCTTAAGTGTAAATTGAGATTTGGGTAATAAATTCTAAGTTCTTGGAAGGGAACAGTGAACCACCCGCTGTCAGCTCCACGTCTCTTCCTTTGGCTTCCAAGTGAGGTCACCTCCTAAGGAACCACAGAGAGGTGACGAGTCTACAAAGAAGAAACCATATTCTTCTCAGTCACTTCTACTACTATCTCCTTATAATTTTGACTAATGAGTTTCAAGAGCAATTTAATTTGTTTAGTTAGTTCATTGAGTGAGCTCACCAAATTAGAGTACCACCGTTGAGTAAAGGTAACTGCTCAGAGGTCACTTCTGTTTTTACGTCTTGCTTGCCGTCACATTAAAGGACCAAGTCCCTCTCCCCCACGTATATAAGTAAGGAACTCGCTGGCCAGTTATTTGGGTCTTGGCTGACACATATGCCTTTTGCGAATAGATTTCCAGAAGTAAAGCCCCAGGGATGTATTCCCATAGATGATATTATTTTTTTTTTCAGTTGTTTATGTCAGTTTACTACAAAAATAAATAAATAAATAAAGATTCAGAGTGGATGGGGTACAAACTCTGAGTATTTTTCTAGTCAGGAATTTTTTATTATTAATAACTGGTGCTGCCAGATCATGCATGCTGCAACACTCAACATTTTCCTTATTTGGTTTGGTTTTTTACAAAAGGGCTACAGTTCACACTGCAAAGTATTAAGCTTTCCGAGTTTGTTTGTTTTTCTTTTTTCCAACTGTGACCCAAAAGAATTAAAATCTTTTAATATAAATAGAGAGCATATTTATCATTCCGTGATAGTTAATTATAGTGTTTGGTACCTTTGTGCCTCAGGGAAGCCACGTGATATAACTAGTTATAGAATTTCAGGGTTAGGATTTAAAGAAAGGAGAAAGCCATTGGAAAAATGATGGGCTCCATTAAGGAGACTAATGAATCTGGATGCAGAAATATGCCAGGAACTGGCATAAATACGATTGTAGTAGAATTTATTTTCCAGTACCAATAGGGAAATTATTTTAAGTTATTACATATTCTGTATTAGGAAAGTTGAAGAGGACTCTTTTCTTCATAATGCTTCAATGTCTTTTATTTTTGCTTACATTAATAAAAACCTCAAACTTCTGTTACTTGGGAGCTCAGTATTGTTATTTGGGCACTTTTGAGTGTTTAAGGAGCACACTTTCTACTTAATTTAAGTATAATATAGGTTATAGAATGGATACCTGCAGTTCTATGATTTTGTTCCATTTTTTGGGTTTTTTTTTTTTTTTCCTAAAGCCATTCTGTTCGTTGGATATGCATGAAAGGGTGTGTGATCACACTGTTGTTCATGCTGGGTAAAGCCCAGTTGTCTTCATGCAACCTTGCCTCGTAACAGTGGAATGTCTGATAAATAAACCACAAGACCTTGATTTTAAGCCACATCAAGCTCTGTTCCCTTGGCTGTTGCTCTCGTGTCCCCGTAGTTTAGCCTCTGTGGGCTGAGGGTCTGCGGTTCTTCTTCAGTGCTGAAAATAGAGCACAGCTATGTTATCATTAATTCTTTACAACCCAGAGGCTAATGAGACAACTTCAGGATCTTTCTAAAAGAATATAGGCATTACTGAAGCAGTAAAACAAAGGTTAAATATTTTCTTTTTAGGAAAGCTTAAATTCTGTCAAATAAGTTGTCACCCTCCTGAAGAATCCCTAGAGGAAGATAGGAAAAAACAAGTATTTTTCCAGTTCTTCTTAGCTGTTTCTAAACATGTTTCTAAACAAACAAATAGACTCAATGAAAGGGAAGTTGTTTCTTTTTAGCTGAGATGACAGATCGCTTCTCTGTATTAAATAGTCTAGAAGTTAAAGGGGTGGTCCTATTTACCATGTATAGTGTTATGAGCAGTTAAATTTTATGGATATATTTGTAAAACTGTTCTTTTATATTTCATGTCAAATTGAAAAATTTATTTCTTCACTATTGTACCTGTGGAAATACAAGCCATTTTACAGGAAAAATCTTCAAAAACTATTAAATGGATCTCAGTATGTTTGTGAGTTGTTGTCTTCAGACTCTGGTTGTCATTGGGTTCATGAGGACATTCAGTAGGAAGCTGATACAAAAGGAGACTTAATTTTTGCGTTTCCCACACTTAAACGTTAATCCTAACAAGTTGAGTTTACTATTAATTGTTTTATATTCTGCACAATACATATTTAAATCTAGATTCTGGAAATCCCCCCAACTTTTTAATTAAAGAAATTCTGTTGGTGCTTATATTAGTATTTCTTGTGACATTATGTCATTGTCAAATAAATCTAACTTCTACAAGTTTCAAATTTGACTTGTAGAATTATGGATTTTCTTCCTAATGATTATAAGCATATTGCTACTTATATGACAATCTGCATTCACTTTTAACAACATAATAAGGATTATGTGGGGCCAGCAGGTGATTATGGTGATTAAGGCAATGGATTCCATGTGGGCAGTTCCACAGTTCAAGTCTTGGACACAGTGGCTTGAAAAACACAACAGGCATGTGTGCACATGTGTGCCCAAAATCCTGAAAGGAGAGTGGAGGAGAAAGGATTGTGCAGTGTCCATACCCCTGGGAAATGATTTCTCACTTTACCTCTCTCTCTCTCTCTCTTTCTCTCTCTCTCTCTCTCCCCTCCACCCCCGCCTTCCCTTCCCTCCCCTCACTACAGCAGGCACATGCACTGTGTGGCAAAATCTAAAAAATAAAAATTAAAAAAGGATTACGTGTAAGTCTTGAAACCTTAAACCACCTATCAGTAGAAAATATATGTATTTTGACTTTTTTTCCCCCATCACATTGATATTCACAACGTTAGTACTGTTGAGGGAAATAGATTATTTCAATAAAAGAAAATGTGCAGTCATATATGCTTTTATTTTAGGGGGTAGGTATTCAGTACTTTATTGACTCTTAAGATGCCATGAACTGTAAGATGTGTTATAAAAAAAAATCAGTTATAACTGTAAGATACATCTCATTTGGCAAAGATGCCAAGACCATTCAATGAAGGAAAGAATAGGTTTTTCGACATATGGAGCTGAGGCAACTGGACAGCCACATGCAAAAGAATTGAGCTTGATCTCTACGTGACACAATACTGCAAAAATTAATTCAAAATAGATTGAAGAGCTACAACTATAGAACGTGTAAAACTTTAAACCAGTGTGACCTTGAATAAGTCAATGATTTCTTAAACATGACACCAAAAAAAACACACACTACAGAAAGAATTGGCTAAATTAGATTCATCAAAATTAAGATTTTTTCGTGTTTAAGGACACTATGAAGAAAGCAAAAAGACAACCTACAAAATAATAGAAAATACGTGGAGATCATAAATCTGATAAGGAATTTGTACTTAGACTATGTAAAAAGCTCTTATAATTCATCACTAAAAATACAAGCCCTTTTTAAAAAATGATCAAAAGATTTCACTAGACATATTTTTAAAGATATAAAAGCACATAAAAATGTTCTGTGTCCTCAACCATCTGGGGAATGCACAAGGTCAAGTCACGTGATGTTTTGTCTGTCTCACGGAAGAAATTTTTTAAAAATGAAAAAGCCATATAGCATCAAGATGGCTAAAGTAAAACAAAATGAATGTTTACAAGGATGTTGAAATACTGCAACTCTCATAAGGTGTTGGTGAGACTATAAATTGGTGTAGCTGCTTTAAAACAGTGTGGTGGTTCTTCAAAGAGTGAAATATACAGTTACCATGTGAGCTAGCAATTGTACTTAGATCCTGGAAGCTTACTGGGTTCTCAGAATTGTCATTAACATGATGGAAACTTGGTGTGGTTCAGCAAACTGATACCAGAGCTCATTTTACAGGCTTTGAGTTCCTATCTAGTAACATATTTATAGTAAAACTTGGAAAGGGACCTTCAGAGTTTGAATTTTTCATGGAGTCTAAAAAATGTTCTGATGTTTACATTTATTAGTTTAAATGGGTGGGCAAGAATTTCTTCATCTATAACATAAAGGTGTTAGCAGTGGCTCCTGCTCCTTAGAGAT